CCCTCCTCCCCCTCCTCCGTCCTCACCCTCATCCCCCTCCTCACCCTCATCCCCCCTGCTCCATCCTCATCCTCATCTCCATCCCACCCCACGTGGAGACTGGGCACTGCATTTATACAAAAGAAAGGCAACTCCTTGGTGAAGAGAGACCATAAAAAGGCACAGGCCTACCAAGACAAAGTTTGGCCACCAGACTGGCCTCTGCAGGGGAACGAGATGAGTCCCTTTCTCCAGCTGAACCCGGCCAGCAAGAGGGTGCCCACTGCCCTCCTGCCGTGCCTACAGAGCCCGCCCACCCTGAAGACTTGCGCAGACAATGGATGGTACTGTGTGCACCAATGCCCTACTTAAAGGCTATGGGAGCCAACGTGTTACAAGAAAAAAGAAGCTGTTAGTTGGAAAAGTCATATAATGACCCCTGGGGCCCTACAGGCAGTAGGTCCTCTAAAAATAGTAGCTGTTATCACCACCCATTCTCCCTTCATAGTTTTGAGCTCAAAAGTTTCCTTCACCCAGCAGCACCAGCACAGCCCCAGACCCAGCGTGGCCCTGAACTTCCAGCCGCAGCACTGCACGCCCACCCCAGAGTCAAACCAGCTGCGTCTGTAGGGCCATAACGACCTAACCGAGGCCAGGCTCACACGGACTGAAATCGGACAGTTGTGATGGAATGAAAATATTTTAGCAGGCGGCCAATACACGTTTGAGGAAAACTGACCGAGGTCCCCCTGCCCCATGGACTTCCTCACTTACCTGTCAGAGCCCGGGTTTGGGTGGGTCTCGCTCTGCATAATGGCACCTTTAACGAACCTGCCAGGCGGCCCAGAACTAACCAGGCTGGCGTGAAACCACCTTACTACTGCCAGTTACTATTCACAGGGCTCCGGGGGGGGGGGGGCAGAACTTCCAGTGACTCGGTACTTATAATGCTCCTGTTGTCCCCAGACGTGTGACAGATTCCTGAGAGATCCAGGGAGCTCTGGCCACCACGGGGGTGAGGTATCTGGGTTTTAAACGGGGAGAGGAGTTGTTAGGAAAACAGTTCAACACCTAGAAATGCGTGCTTGGTGGTTTGCAATCTGACGACCACTTGAATAGGACTGGCAGCCGGACCTGTCTGGGTTACTTCACTTCATTTGACAAAGTCTTGCACACAGAGAGCGCTTTCAGAACACACAGCATCACTGGCCAAGTCCCTCTGTGTCTCTTCATGTCAAGTTTTGCCGCTTTACAGCCACAGATGCCAAGAAAGGGATAATCTTCAAAGGTGGGCCATCAAATCGGCGGAGTTTGTGTTCACCACTCGGATGGTGTGATCAAAACTCCAACTGCTGGAGAAACTGGAACACGGGTGAGGTGAAGTCAGCCCGAAATTCAAAGTCGGTGTTTCCATTACCACGTGGACAGGGTTTTCAGGAGTTTATATAACTCGATCGTGAAAAAAAAAGCTCCAGGCTGAAAACCTGGTCTGTGTCATCTTGGACCAAACCAGTTTGCAAAGCTCTGAGGTTTGTTTGCTTTTCTCTTTCATCCCTTTCCAAGAATGCAGAACTTTTAAACACTGTCCGTGAAGCTGAACCAAAAAGTGCCCGTAAACCTGGTGAGCCGATGCTCGGCAGGCAGCCCTTCTTTTGGAAGAAATTACGATTTCTGTACAGAGACTTGCCTCCAAGGTGCCTATGCACTTGGGACGTGAAGCACTCAGATTCCTCTTCCACTCACTCTTCAGCCTGCCCCTCCTCTGCAGGTGACTTCACCAAAAACATTGCAGCTCTACATTGGAATATCCACTTCTCTAGAAGTAAACTTCAAATTAGCATTTAACAATCCGGTGCTGCGCCTCCAGGCTGGCCAACGTGATGTAGAAAAATGTGCAACAGCAGGCAGGACAAACCGGTAGGAATAAAGCTCACTATTATGACCTCCATTATATGGGCTCCACGTGGGACGGAATGGAGCACTTATATCAGACGTCAAAATGGGAAAGACAGAAGGACCAGAAGACAGATCTGGACATGTCCAAATGTATCAAGAAACTAGCAAAGGAGAAGGCACGACAGGGACCAGAGGAGGCTCTCCCAGACGCCGTCTCCCAGAGCCTCCATGTCCGCGCGCACACGGACGCAGGCCACAGAAAGTGACCAGAAAGTGACTTTCAGAGCGAGGTGGGCTGGTCTCCTTGCACACACTTCGTCTCTCATTTCTTAGGTATTAGCCCTTGCCGCCAAGGACTGCGGCCAATGAAAAATAAACAGAGAGAATCTTCTTAGACCATGGACTTATTTCGAGGAGGATGGACCCACCAGGTGACTCAGCACATCGGGGTCCGACTCCAACCAGCGTGACCATGTCTGAATAAAATCACCTCTGGAAAAACCTGGGTGTCTGGGAGCCCGTGTACTTAGGCTGTGAGGTTTAGGAAAGCAGGTCTGACTCCCCATGACTGCGCTGCCAGGAATGCTGGGGAGGTGGCCTGTCAGGAGGCCAGGTCTGACAGGCTGTACCCTTCAGCACTGAGAAGGGCTGTCTTCTTCATGACGAGCCCGTCCAAAGGGTCTAAGGAGTCTGTCTGGATCCTTGCCCAGGAAGGAGGAGATAATGCAAGAACAAGCTTCTGTGTGCGTGCGTACGTGCGTGCGTGTGTGTGTGGGTGTGTGTGTGTGTGTGTGCGCGCGCGCGTGCGTATGTGCGTGTGTGTCTGTGTGTGGGGGGGGTGTGTCTGTGTGTGTGTGTGTGTGTAGGTCTTTCTGTCTGTCTCTGTCTGTACCTTATAGGAGAGGCCCTCCATACAGTGAGTACACTTACAAATGTGGAAAATGGGATATAGTTTTAGCATATCATGTTACATTTTTATCATGACCTCTGCAGAATTGTTGAAAATATTATTTTGCATAAAAATAGAAACACCAAGACTCTCTGATCTAGAAGAAATGCTGAAATGCACTTCCTCATCCAGACCCCCTCCAGCACAATCCTTCCTACAGTATCAATCAGCACCTAAAGTTATTTGCAGAGACAGGCAAGATATATATTTATAAACTCAAATTTTAAAAATGCGATGAGTTATAATATATCTTAGGATTAAATACTTTTCAGTAATAGAGAACTCATTACTCATGAAATAGCCTTTTCTTCAGATGACACTTACGGTTTAAAATAAAATCCTTCCTTGTGGCCCTGGGAATGTGTGATTAAGAACTGCCCAAAGGATTTTCAATTGAAAAGCAGTACAAAATATCATTGCTAACATTTCTGCTAAGTTCACAAAGACTTAAATCTGGCCAAAGGTAGTCAATGATTTTTATCATTGTAACACTGTAACTAAAGTACCATTATTTAAACACTGTATTTCATCAAGTTTTTAATAATGAAGTGACTTTTCTCAAACATTAAAACCACATCATAGAGATGGAATATTATTCAGCCATGAAAAGGGATGATGTACTAACACTGCCACAATGTAGATGAACCTTGAAAACAAGGTTCTGAAAGACATCAGACACCAAGGGTCACATATTATACAATCCTGTTTGGATGAAATGTCCAGAACAGGTCAATCTATTAGAGGCAGAAAGGAAATTGGTGGTTGCCTAGGGATGAGCGGGGAGGGAGTGAGACTAACTGGTCATGGGTACATGGTTTCTTTTGGGGGTGGGCAAAGTGTTCCTGAACTGGACAGTGGTGATGGTTGCACAACCTGAAAACCACTGAGTTGTATTCTTCACGTGGGTGAACTTTATGGTATACGCATCATACCTTAGTTGAAAAATAATAACCACGTCTTGAATCACAGATCTTAAGTCAAAAATCATTTTGATAGGCATTATTACCCAAGGAACTCTGCACTCAGTAAAACAGCGGAAATGAATGCTAACTTCAGCTCTGTAAAGTCTGCTCTTCAAAGTTGTGCGGTGAGAGGTACTGAATAATGCATGACTATGGATTTGGCTAGAGAACTTCTCCCTACACTTGTGTTCATACCTTTTGATCCACAGAGAATTCGGTCTCCTTTTTATTTCACAGGGAAGGGTTAGTTTATTTCATGTCACTTGGGCTTGCATTTACGAAAGATCAGGAAATTTCAAAGCCACAAATGGGTCCTCAGCCAAAAACTGACAGCTCAGAACCATTATTTTCATCTGTTTCTAGTATCTCAGGTTTCTTTAGGTGTAACTGAAAACATGGGGTTGTATCCCATCGACTTGCAATGCTTCTGTTTTTTCAAATGACAATCACATAACCTACAAAAATGGAAGCAGGATTTGGCCGACGGTAGGTTAACTTTGGGAAGAAGATACTACCTAGATAAAGCACATATGTGTTGACTTTTTCAGATTAAAACTTCAAAATATAATGTGTGTAAGACCTCTGATTTCCCTACGAGTAGCCAGAAAGAACTCCCAGTGTGAAAAAGAAGCTACACACGTCATTAACACTTTCCCCATAAAGACACACGAAATCTTACGTTATGGTTTTGAACAGGATCAAGGTCGCCGTCCCATAACATTACTCAACTTCTGTCCTCTTATCTGTCACGTTACATATTGTTCCTGTCCCATCTCACTGCTGCCCTGAGAGCACCAGGGACTGAGTGTAAACTTTAGTTTTTAGATCACACCCCAGCACGGTCTTACACACAGCCGGGAGTCCAACATCCAACACGTGTCGAGGATGCACTGACTAGGTTGCTCGTTACCCAGGTCTGCGTGGCAAGCTCTCTGTGCGTGTGTTGTTTACAGTGTACGGCACCGACAACAGCCAAAAGCTGCCATGAATTCTGTAATGTGACTGCCGCCAGGGTGTCCACGGGCGTCACACCCCGCGACTTGATCATGCATGCGCGTACGAGACGAAACCGCCAGGATACTCACAGTTGTAGCCGGGTGCAATTCGGTGCTGCGCCTCCAGGCTGGCCAACGTGATGTGGAAGACGATGTGCAGCAGCAGGAAGGACAAACTGGTGACGCACAGAGACTTTAAGAGCCGGCCCGTGTGTCCTGGGGGTGAAAGCACAGAGGTCGTGAGCGGACTCGACTGGCGCACACGCATGCTGATCTGCGTACCAGCCACAAAGAACCTTTCTGAACATAATCTATTCCAGAGACTGACTCAAAAGTACAGCAAGTGTCACCATTACTCTCAATTATTAGCTAAAGCTAAAACCGTCAGACTTCTTTTGTCCAAATATACAGCTAACACTGATTAAAAACTCAACATGAGAGGAAGGTGTGCTCCCATTTATCACAGGATATGTTACCACAAAATGGAACCGCTCGGAAGTCTCCGGTCCAGAAAGTTTCATGAGGGAGTCCTGCCAGCTCTGAAGGAACAGATAATCCCTACCTTACAAAAGTAGTTCCGGAGAGCAGAAAGAGAAGGAAAGTTGCCTCAAACATTTTACCATTCAGAGTAAGTTTAATTTCAAAATTAAACAAGGCTAGAAAAGGAAAAGAAATTATCAACCCATTTTACTTACAAATACAGACACTATTTGAAAAAATACTTGCTCACCAACTGAAGCAGCAATGTGAAAGACAAGACATCATAATAACCTAGGGTTTACTGCAGAAAAACAAGTGTGGTTTAACAGCAACAAATCTGCGAGGGTCAGTCATACTTGAGACGGTTGATGATGACGATGTTCACAATGGACCCAGAAGCAGCATTTCAACACGTTCAAAATCTATTTATGATCAAGTAAAACAACACTCAGAAAACTAGGAATAAAAGGAAATATCCTTAATATGATAAAGAATTTATACAACTAAAGCAAACATCCTGTTTATGGTGGAATTTTAGACACAGTCCTATTAATACCAGACGGTCATCGAGGACACTTGGAACCCTTGCCACTTATGTCACTAGGCACACAGGCCTGTGTTACAAGATAAGAATGAAGAGTTGTAATAACTAGAATCACTTGCAGGTGACACTATATCATCAGGACAGAATGTCAACCTGTATCCACAGATCAACTATTGGAACAAACACATGAGAATGATTCAGATGCAACATCATCTTGCAAAAATAAGAACAGCTCCTCTGCATTGACCATCATCAAACAGAAAACACGGCACAACTGAAATTAGCAACCAAAACTGGTTTATCAGGGTAGACACAATGAGTTAGGAAGTGTTCCCTCCTATTCTAAATTTGTTGGAAAAGTTTGAGAAACATTGGTGCTTGTATTCCTTTACGCACATTTGGAAGAATCTACCAGGGAAGCCCTCTGGCACAGGACTTCTCCTTGTTGAGAAGTTTCTGGTCACTGATTCACTCTCTACTTTCATAGGTCTGCCCATAATTTCTGCTTCCTTTTGTGTCCATGTTGCCAGTTTCTGTGTTCCTAGAACTTCCTCTAGCTTGTTTGGGGTATCTGGTTTGTCAGCATTCCCTTGTTCACAGTACGCACATATAATTGTTCTAAGTTTGCGAGACTGGTAGTATCACCCCCCTTTCACCTGTGACTTTACCATTTGTATCTTGTCTTCTTTATGATGTGTGAGTGTAGCTAAGGGCTTCTGCTGCTCTTCTCAAGAGAACCAACACTTGGTTTTGTTGACTCCAAGTGTTTTTCTAATCTCTGCTTCATTCAGCTCTGCTCTAACCTCCACTACTTCCTCCCTTCCGCTGGTCGGCCGCTTGGCTTGCCTTTCCTCTTCTAGTTCCTTAAGGTGTACAAGTAGGCTATTGATTTGAGAGCATTCTTCTTTTCAACATAGCCTTACAGCTATAAATTCCGGTGAGAACTGCTTTTGCCGCATCCCCTACGTTTTGACTTGTTATGTTTTTGTTTCCACTTGTCTCCTGGTATTCTTTGATTTCCCTTGTAATTATCTCTTTGGCCCACTGGTGTTTGAGAATGCACTGTGTAATCTCCATAGATCTGTGAATTTTCCGATTTTCCTTGTTATCAATTTCTAGTTTCATCCCATGGTACTTTGAGAAGATACTTTGGGTGATTTCAATCTTTTTAAATTTCTTGAGAGTTTTCCTGTGGTCTAACACATGGTCCATCCTGGGGCATGTGCCATGCAGACTTGAGAAGAACAGGTATTCCCCTATCTTTGAGTGGGGTCGCGCATGTTGACCTGCTAGGTCTAGTTGATTTACAGTGTTGTTCAAGTCCTCTTTCTCCTCACTGTTCTTCTATCTAGATGTTCTTCCCATTATTGAAAGCGGACTCCTGAAGTCTCCAATTATCACTGTAGAATTGTCCTTTCTTCCTTCAAGTCTGCCAGTGTTTGATTCACATCATATTTTAGGGGCTCTGTTGTTTGCCAAGTATATATTCACAATTGTTATAGCTTGAATCGATCTTTTAGCAATATATGATGTCCTTTTTTTGACATTAATTTTTATCTACTTATTTTCTATGGAGGTATAGTCAGTTTACAAGGTTGTGTCAATTTCTGGTGTACAGCACAATTTTTCAGTCATACAGGGATATACATACTATTATGTCCTTTCTTGCAGTTGTTTTTGACTTAACATATATTTTGTCTAATATTACTGTAGCCACCTCAGCACTTTTTTGGTCATTATTTGCATAGAATACCTTTCTCCATCCTTTCAATTTCAACCGACTTTGTCTTTGGATTTTAAGTGAATTTCCCGCAGACAGCATGTAACTGGGGCATTTTTATTATGCCATCTACTACCTGTACCTTTCATTGGAGAGGTTAATCCAATTACATTAAAGTGATTGCTGGTAAGGATCCCTTTCTGTCACTCTGCTGCTTTCTCCTGTGCGTCCTACCCTGCTTGCTCCTCATGTTCTCTACTGCTTCTTTCATTTGTGTTTTTTAAGGATAAATTTGCCTGATGCAAGATTCTGTTTTATTTAAACACAGAAAAGTTAGTGAACTTATTTACTTATTACACATACATTCCTTTTCAGATTTTTTTCCACTATAGGTTATTAACAAGATAGGGAATATAGTTCCCTGTGCTGTACAGTAGGACCAGTTGTTTATCTATCTTGCTTCATTCCCATAGCTTCTTGCTAACAATAAGACTAAATTAATTAATTGGCATGTAATACCATCAAGTAGATACCCTTTCAAAACCTTTCTTCCCCACTCGATCCGGCTCCAAAGACTATCCTGGTTGCAAAACTGCACGGCTGCAGCCGCCCTGAAGGCATCTAATGTCCCCCCACCCCATTCTACCTCTCTGAGCAGGGCAACTGGGGAAAGGGGTCCCGAGGGCTCAAGACTAAAGGGAGATCTTGATGAGAAGAGATCCATGGGGGAATCCTCTAATTCTGGTCCTGGTCTCACCCCCAAGCTACACATGTGTGTAAAAGACCCAAAAGAGCTCTGAGAAATGAACTATGCTATAAAGAACCACACAGGTCCCAGACTGACCCCGAGGGTGCATGTACAGGGCAGACCCCAACAGAACAGCAAAGGTTTGAAACTGACATTGGAATCACCACCCACAGAAAGTGAGGCAAAGCTTGTGAGCTGAAACCAACCAGACTGCCTACCTGCTGAAACACAGACCCAACAGAGGGGGGGAATCAACATTCCCAGAGGATTTAACACGACCCAGTGACTCATAACACAATATTCAAAGTGACCAGGACACAATCCCAAATTACTTGGCATAGAAAACACCAGGAAAAACTGACCAATTCTCAAGAGTAAAGACAATAAAGTCAAGCTTGAAATCAGCCAGATGTTGGAATTATGAAAAAACGACTTTAAAACGTCCATTACAACCACACTCCATGAGGTAAAGGTAAACAATCTCAAGATGAACGGAAAGAGCAAAGCAGTCAGCAGAAAAACAAAGTACAAAAAAGGGCACAATAAAAGTCTGGCACTGAAAAAACCCAGCAACAGAAATTTAAACGGCACTTGGTGGACTCCGTAGTGCAGCAGAGGCACTAACTTGGGGAGAGGAATAGAAGTTATCCACTTCGAAAGCCAGAGAGCAAACGACTGAAAAAAATTAAAGGCTCTCAGGGACCTGAGGGTCAAAGGCCACCACATGTGTCTTTTCTGTCATTAGAAACATCATTACTGGAGAGCAGAGACAGCTGCTGTACGATAGCCAGAAGCCCCCAGTTTGTTGAAGACATAATTTACACACTTAATAAGCCCAGCAAATCCTAAAAAGGATAAATTTGAAGAAGCCATCCCAGAGTCATAACAGCCAACCTGCTGGAAACCTAAAGTAAAGAGAAATTCCTGGAAACAGTGAGAGAAAAATGTCACATTACTCCCAGGGGACGACGATGTGAATGACCATGTGTTTTTTGCCACAAACGAAGACGACTGAGAGACAACACCTTTACAGCTGTGAAGGAAAAGGACAACGAACCCCAAATTCTATATCCTGAGAAAACACCCTCCAGACTTGAAGACAAAGGGAGACATTCTCAGAAGAAGGAAAACTGAGCGTCTCTGCCACCAGGACGTCTGCTCTGAAAGTCACACCAACGCGGGCTCTTCAGGCTGAAGGGAAATGATCCCAAAGGAAGACTCGGAACATTAGTCACGAACAAGAGCAACAGAACAGGGTAGAAAGACGCTTGTTTACACACATACACACGCCTCATTACAGCCACGCTCCAACTAACTCGAGGCATTTCTAGAAACAGTCTCTTGTTTTTCTGGTCTTGGAAATATTTTGGGTGTCGTACTGAAATAACTGAAGGTATGATGTTGCCCGTGTGTTCTGGGTAGTCACTCTTACTTAAACAAGAAACATGAATTATCCAAGGGTATGTCACCTGATAAATAATCACTCATAATTAGAAATGTAAGAAAACAGGGCACATACTTAAAAGGATCAAAAATACACATGCTGACTTCCAGCTGACTTCCCAGAGTAACCCAGACAGCAGATTCACAAAATAGGCAACTTACTGCCAGAACGACACGGCCCCAAAGTGCATATTTATACACCATTTTCCCCTGATGTTTAGAATGCCAAAGCAGGAGAAATTCAGTATTAACAGAAGGAATAAACAACGGGGAGCAAAA